GGATATTTGTAGGACAATGTTCGCAGCATTGCTAATTGCAAGAGCAGAAATGGCAACAACGTTAACATCCAATAAAGAACAGAGCACACAGTGGTCTACTCATGCAGTGACGTATTCTTACAAAAAGCACACTTAACTTTCCATATATAGGGGAAAGGGAAGGTCCATAACATTGTGTATGGTATAATATCATTTATATAAAATTTAAAAAATATTAAAAATATGATCAACTGATATTTATGTTTATGAGTGCAATACAGCATTAAAAGCATGTCTAGAAGTGACATATAGAGAATGAGAGCTGCGCTAGGGAGCTCTGGAATGGGACAGGGATAACACAAGTAGCTTCAATCTTAATGCACATCTTTAATCTTAAGGAAGTTTTCACATCCAACATTCATTGAGTCTATTGTATGACAAGTACTTTCCTAAGTTCTTTACATATATTAATATGGTTAGACTTCCCCAAATCTCTAAAAGACTATAATAACCATAGATCTGAGAAACTGAAGCAGAAAGATACCTTAAACATGGTTCTATAGCAGAGAAATTTACTTAGCTAATACAGCAGGGATGCACCTGGGGACTATCATGCTGGAGTACAGAACCATCACAGTATACCCACTAGTTTGCTAATATGGAAAAATGATAATGTTTCAGATTATATTACACTGTAAAGATATTACACTGCAAACACCTTAGTTAGAAACAGCATGTTAAATTTAAATAGCATTATATATAAAAATAAGGCTACCTAAGGATGAATTCCAGCCATTTTTACCAATAATATTGTTAGTAATCATGTAAATAAATGATTTTTTTAGATTTCTTATATTTTATAAGTATTTTATCTTCAATATGCCTAAGCAGAGTGTCTCTAAAATAAGACTCAATTCTGAGAAAACCGAATTTGCTTATAATTGTTCATGAAGGGAAGTCATTTTGCTGTTTATGTATTTATAATATCTTAATCACTATTATGGCATAGGAGATTCTCTGCCAGAATGTTAGCAAATGTTAGAAATGTTGATGTTTAGTAGATTTTAAATATATTCAATACTGGAGAAAGCAGAGGGAAGAAATTACCTAGATAGTTTGTAACAACATTTGCTTTCTCTATTGTACCTAAAGCTATTTTACAGTATTCACGACTCTCTGAAAACCAACTGAGACATAAATTTTGTTCTGTTTACTAGAGATTTTTGTGGAACTAAACAGTGGCAGAAAAATCACAACTTTGTTCAGATGATTCTTTCTCATTTTTGATGCACATTTTAGTGGGATAGAATGTGATGTTTTAATAAATGTATACATTGAATAATGATCAAATCGGGGTAATTGGCAACTTTGACTCATTAGAAGCTTTTCATTTCTTTGCAGTGAGAATATTCAAAATCTCTTCCAGTGATTTTGAAGTAAACCATATATTATTATTAAGTATAACTGCATCTTAAGAAAATGAGATGGTAATTTAAATAAGCAGTATATCCCTGAAAGCGAAACAAAAGAAGTACTGAGGAAAATCAGAGAACAGTTGGTGAAACTGACCAACACTTTCAAGTCAAGTTTGCTTTAATGTCTGCCACTGCCCTTCTCCCATGAAGCCAGATACATCTCCCTTCTTAAGACTTCTTCCCTAAGTTCAACAGTCAACAAGCAAATTCATTTCTAAAGAGTATGATGGTATTTTTGATCCAAAATAATGAATATCATAGTTTTCAATTCTAACGTCCAAATCCAACAAAGAAACCACCAGACAGTAACAAGAGAAGGAACAGAATGGTGCAGAAAAGGGTAAAGTAGTTGGAGCCTCAATTATCCTATAGGGACGCTCCCTCACTTACCATGGATGACTTTAGGACAATTGGAAAATGGTAAGCACTCACAAGAAAATGTACCTGCAGTTTTTAATTTGATAACTCCCTGGTGTGGTGATATGGGTTGCATGCTCTGTGGTGTTGGTGGAGAATGGGAAGGCGAGAACCACTCAGCACCCTGATCTCAAAGGGAAATGACCGACACTCCCAGTCCACTGTGTGGTTCGGGCAGGATGCTTGGTATGTTACGGTATTTCAAATGCATTTTTGACCTACAATGTTTGCTTGAATTGATCAGGTCATAGTCTCCTTCTAGCTCAAAGAGCACCTGACCTGTAGTCTATTTGTGTCCAACCTGGAGAGGTGAGCATGCTGGGTGATTTTACCCCTCCTTCTCTCCTAAGTGATTGGACAAAGACTAACTGGGGGAGGGTAGAGAGATGCTGGAGGGTAGAGAGAGGCTGCCTGTGTATTCCCACACCCAGGTGAATCTGGGATTTCAACGTTAAATGAGCCTGTGACACTTTTGTTTCCTACAAAATAGAAGAAAAGCAAGTTACATGAGCCTTGTTTTTGGTTTGTCTTATAATAAGTGTGATATGCCAGGCCAAATTGAGCATCATTACTGCAACTCCTCAGCTGTTATTTTGTGTTATTTTTCTGCATCCAAAAGCTCTCCATGGTAGTTCTTCTATAAAGTGTGAGCAAAAGTCACTTTAGAGTACATTATTGTTTTTATTGACATGGAAAAGACAGTCTAGATCAAAAGGCGGAATTTTCGGTGCAGACGCTGATTAAAGGCAAAGCCCTTACCTCTGTGCTTCCATGGCTATTCTACACTACCCGGGCAGCTCTGTATCTGTGTCGCAGGTTTCATTTTACTGTCTCCTCCCATACAGCAAAGCTGTTTTCTATAATAATTATGAAATAGCACAGATTTCTCAGAACCACCAAACTTGTTCTTACCAAACTATAATGATACACCGTATGGCTTGCAGTGATTCTTTTGCTGCTTTAAATTTTAAACATGAATGAACACAAGGAAGGATGGAGGTGAACTAAACCTATTTGTTTCTTCTTTGCAATCTTCATGCTATCAAGTTTCTTTCAAATCTGTTCAAACACAGGAATGCATAAAGGACCTGGCGGCAGGAATTTCTCTCAAGGCACGTAATCCTGAGGTGAATGCTTATATGAGTCCACAGTTGTAGGAATGGGGCACTGCTGAAAAATCTAATTCGGTGAAGAATGCAACGTTTATCAAAGGATAAGTAACAGAAATATCAAAAGTGCCATAACCATGTACGAGACTAATAGATGATTGTTTTCAGGGAAGAACGGTTATATTAACATTGTTTACAATGGCTGCCCTATGGCGATTTACAAAGCAAGCTGGTCTATTAACTTTCGGTCAGTTGTGTTACTGTTTTGAAATTCTCTAGCTAGTGCCTCTGTATTGCCAAGGGAGAGATGAACTGCTTCTGAGGCCGCAGCTCTGGAAAGCAGCTAAGCTTCCTGATCGCGAAATTCTGGAGCCTGGGTCATGCTTTTGGAACCCAGTGTTCCGGATAGCAGGTGATGTCCAAGGACATCTGTCCGATTCACATGTGTTTGTACTTTGGTTACCACTCCTATTTCCTGTTTTCACTCTTATCTTGCTATCAGAAATGTATGAAAATGGGATTGCCTGCCGTTGAGAGGCAGGACCCTCACAAACTAATCCTTTTAGAGTGAGTGGGTGGGTGCTGAATTTTTTACACAAAGCTGTGTGGTAAGATGAACTTGGACTTAGAGTAGAAGGATTGTGTCTAAGAATCACTGCTCTAGACAATAAATGGCTAGGAGTGAGGTCTGATTAAAAGGATACTTCCTTCTCTCCAGTAATGGCTAGATAAAGTTCTGGTTTTAAATGCGACAATTTAAAGGAGACAGAAATAATATTCTATGGGAAAGGAGTAAAAGTTCAGCAATCTCGTGTGTGCCAAGCATTCTGCCTACTTTATCTCCTTTAATCATCACAGATGTTATTTCTATTCTATACTACAAATGTTTTGAAAATTATAACAAGGCATTTACACACAGGGTTACAGCAGAGAGTAAGGGGAAATTATTTCTTATTAAAATTCATTGTGTGCTAGACACAGAGCAACTTGTTTTAAATATTTTCCAAAACTCCTTGCAAAAAAAAATTCTGTATTCTCAGGATACAAAAAAAAATTGAAGTTTGATTCAGAGTTTATGATACTCGTTTCACATTATCATGGGGTAAGTTAGGCTCCAACTCAAGAGTATTCAACACCCCCACCCCATAAAACCTGCCTAATTTACTGCAATGTGCTTTTGTCTGTATAAGAAAACAAAAGCACTAAAAATAAATCAGCCTAGACCCAATGGAAGCCTGGTTCAGAATACAAAGTAAATGCTGTTGATTATGAAAACTAGTATTATAGGAAAAGTTGATGTGTATTGGTTGAGGATAGAGATAGTTCAAGTTGAAGCTCACAATAATATCGCTCATCTGGTGTGTGTGTTTAAGAGCAAGACTGATGCATTGACTATGGGTCCAATTAGGATTCTTTAAATCTTCAAGCAGGGCTTTAATAGAAGCTATTCTTCCCACTGTGTAGTTTAGCTTCCAATGTCCTCTCTTGGCCAAAAGAGAGGGGTTGGCCGCTGGGGCTTCTACTGAAACTCTCCTGTCATCATTGGGCTTAACGCCACAGATCACATAATCAAGCCGAGGTTTCTGTCAAGTTCTAAATATATCACATCCAACTGTGCACCCAGGGCCAGGAATGGGTCTGTGGATTCATTGGCCTCTCTGTGAGAGAGTTCTGGGTCCCTTCCATCTATCACTTGGTGTCTCAAGGACTCCCTTTCCCTCCTCCCTTTAGAGGGCCTGGTGGTGCATTAGGACTCCTGGCACCTGTTCCTTTAAACGCTGAGTCTGAGTCCTAAAGAACTTGAATATTCCATAGAACTTGGCCTCATGCCTGAGAACATTAATGCTCACTCCCCTTAAATCTAGTTCTTTTGTCCGAAGAAAATTTAAAATGGGTGCAAATGCTGCTGGATTTGTATCAATGTCAGTCTGTGCAGACAACAGTCACGTCCACACGTGGACGGTCACGCGGTTCCGGGGATGATCTCCACTCAGCCGGGCTCCATGCCGTTGGCTTCCTTCAAGATCCTGTCTTTGGGAGAGATCGAGAGCCAGGGGAGCTACCCCTCTGGGGATGACATAGGTGGGTGAGAGCAGCAGGGAGATTTCGGATCTCGTGTGAGCAGTTCCAGAGAAGTGGATCAGTGGCAGTAGAAATCTGAAAATGAGTTTTAAATACAGATTTTTTTTCTTTTTAATTTTGAGACTCTTTCAAGACAGAAATGTAGGGCTTCCGAATAGTTTCTGTGAATTCGCCAAACTATGGAAGCATTTCTTAGTGTTTAAAAAGTTACAGAAGCAGAGTCTTCAATTTATGAGAGTTTAAATAATGTCACCTCTGAATGTGCCCTTGTGTTTATAACTAAAGCCACGGTAACTGTTCACACTGGAAACTTAGTGTCTTCTTTTACTAATAATCTCCTGAAAATAAAATTGAAGCTAGCGAAGGGCTGGTGCTTCTGTGTGATCAGGCGTTTTGATGGCGATATAATGTCTACGCGGAAGGGATGGACCTGCGTTCACCGGAACAGGATTTCCGGCAGCTGGTGGACAGAGATTGAAAGCTTTGCAAGGTGTAACTCAGTATAGGTCAAACATCCCTAATCCAAAAATCTGAATCGGAAACATCCCAGCATCCAAAACTGTCCAGCCCCAAAAAGAAGTGAAATATTCTATATGATGAAATTTTATTGTATATGTACAATTATTAAAAATATTGATAAAATTACCTTCAATCTGTGCACAGAAGGTGTATGTGAAACATAAATTTTGTGTTTAAACTTGAAAAAAAAAGAATTTGAATATCTCCTTTTACCTGTGGTCAGGCCCTCAGAGCCTGGTAGCAGGTCCCTTCAAGGAAAAGTTATGAAAATTTTCTCTACTGATTGCTGTGATGTTTCTGAAGTTTCCTCAAAGAACATGGCCACCCTTTAAACTAATGGACACTGGTTTGAGAACTAGCTAGGTCTGGAAACTGAGCAAGGATCAAAATTTTCCAGTACAGTAGCTGAAACCTCTCACTATGATGGTTTCTGGATATACTCATTAAACAGGACATCGTTGGAGGCTCATTTTTCTTGCCCTGAGGAATACCGTAATCTCGTCACTGTTGTTAAAGATCTCTATTGTTCGGTGCCCATGTCAGCCCTACTGCCCTTTCCATTGTTCCATTCCTCGTACCTACAATGGTGAGGTGAGGTGCCTCTGCTTTACCTCTGCTACCCAGAAATCCTTCCATCTCCTGAAACACCAGGGGCCCCATTTCCACTTTGACATTTCTTGTCATCAATACTAGTCTATGGAAAAAGTCATCTAATTCAACAAAAAGCAAGACATAACTCATATAAAAAAAATCCACTTAAATTTGAATTTCAGATAAATAATCAATAATATTTTTCACAAAATATGTCCCAAATGTTGCACCCCATATTTTATCTGGATGTACTACTGACAAACAACTACTACCAAGTTTCTTTTCTCAGGGAGGTACTGGGGATCAAATTTGGGTTCATTGAACTTACGAAGCAGGCAGCCAAACCACTAAGCTAAATCCCCAGCCCTACTTCCAAGTTTCTAAATGACTCTAGTCTCCCCTACTAGTGAAAGCTTTCCTGCTAGAGAAAGGATATATATATCCTTTAAATATATATAAGTCGTTGGTGGGATCTCTGATCTCATATAACATTTGTTTGAGCACAGCAAGCTCTCTAGGTCTTTTGACCATACACTCAATATTATACCAAGCAAATTCCCAGCATCTGTACTTTATTTCTTGTTTTCCATTGTTGCCCCAATGCTATAAGAAGGCATCTCAGCAGAACAGATATCCCTGCTGGGATGATATATCCTTCCTTCCCCTACAGAGTGCCCTTCTAACACTTATTTAGTTTTACATTCTATCCTTCAGCTCAAGGCAGAATCCTCAAGGATGGACCCCATCTCCTTCTCCATTGAGTGGCTGGAGACTTCTCTAGGGGGCCAGAAGCGTGAATTCTCCAGGTCTTTCTGCCTGCCCCATGATGGCACAGGGTAACAAAGTACTCAGATGCTGGCATCTGTGGAGGCTCACCTCAAAGTGGTAAAGCCAAGGCGCTTGGAGAGGGCACGGAAGGCATCTGCACAGGTTATTTCAGGACGTTCAGGGTCCTGTCTTACCCAGTGCATCCTGGTCTCCATCATATACATTTATTTTTCTTCAAATATTTTATCCGTAAATTATTTGTTGAATTTTTGAACATTAATTATATTCACATGGTTCAAACAGAACATAAATTATAATGGGAGATAAAAGAAATGTTTCCTTCTATTGCTCTCTTAAGATTCTTATTTTATATGTCACTCCTCACTAGTAACAATTGCTGCAGCTTCATTGCTTCAAATATATTTTCCAGAGATTATATTTAATATAAATAGATATTCTCTCTTCTTCTCCTCTTTATACACATAACATATACAACGTTTTCTACTATGCTTTTCTTACCCAACTATACCTTGCTTATCTTTCCATATCAAGACACTTATATATTGGTTATACAGTAATCCAAGTTTTAGCCACTAGCTAACATGATTAAGGAATTTACTTAAAAGACTGGGTATTTAGATAATTTTTCATCATTCATTACTGCAAAAACTCTTCTCTAAATAATTTAAGGATGAATGTTTTCACATATGTGAAACTATATGTGTGAGTACATCTCTACAGTAAATTTTTAGAAATGGAATTTCTATGTTAAAAGTTTATCATTGACGAGCATAGCAGAACACACCTGTAATCCCAGCACTTTGAGAGCCTGAAGCAGGAAGATCCTAAGTTCAGGTCCAGCCTGGCAACTCTGAAATTTAGAGAGACTGTTAGAGCTGGGCATGGAGCTCAGGGTGAAAGTCTTGGGTTCAGTCCTCAGGAACTCCCACCTCCTCCATTAAAAAAAAAAAATTAAGGGAGAGAAGGAAAGAAAGAAAGAAGGAAGGAAGAAAGGAAGGAAGGAAGGAAGGAAGGAAGGAAGGAAGGAAGGAAGGAAGGAAGGAAGGAAGGAAGGAAAGGGCCAGGGATTTAGCTCAGTGGTTCTGCTGCCTGCCTTGCAAGCTCAAGGACCTGAGTTTGATCCCCGGTACGCCCCCGCCAAAAAAAGAAAGAAAGGAAGGAAGGAAGACATAGAGAAATGGAAATAAGAAAAAGGCTGATAATGCTGCATACGTTTTGATTTCCAAATTTTGCTTAAAGCTTTTTTAGTGAATCAACCCTAAGAATTAAAGACTCCATTATCCTCTTTGTAAGGAAATGGTAACTCATTTAAATTGGTGAAACAGGTGAGTTAGCGTTTTAAGAAAATATTCTTAGTCTGTAAAATACTCAATGGCATTTTGAAATTATTGGTGGTATTTTCATGCTACAGAACTGTCCAGAGTAAAGATTAAAATAATTTAGTTGCTACTGTGCATAAATAATTGATAAGGTTCTTGGAAAAAATAATTCTATTTTTAGAGATGAATATGGAATGTTTGAGAGCTTTCTCTTAAAAACAAGGGACACTCATTTTGATGTCTCTGTACTGATAAATTCTGTGATCAGTTTGTGGGATTAAAATCATCTGAGTGAAAACTCACATTTTGAGCAACATTGGAAGTAAATACTGCAATTTTTAACAATGCCAAAAGGACCTGTTTCTTAATCAGTGCTTGAGTTTGAATTTAACAGCAGCAACAGCAAAAAAGAGCCTGTTCTCTTATTATTGCCAATAATTATTTTCCATAAATGTATGCATTCCAGACATCTTTCTTTATGACACTGTTGACATCATTGTCAGAATCTATTAAAAACCATAAGGCAAACAGATACTTTAACTGCATTGTCTCTGATCTAGACAAGTGCCCTCACTATCCTCTTCTGGTGGAAAGGGAAATTAATTTCTTACACTCTCCTCAGGCTGAAAGAATAGTCTATAGCACATACACCAAAATCTTTCTCTTTCCACCTGCAAGATTGATTAATCTATAGTATAAAAAATGTAAATCTTTGGGAATCTTGTCACTTTTATGGTCTGTAGAAGATGAATTCCAGCAGGATTTCACTATTGCTTAGGCCTCTGGCCCCAAAATAATATAGCCATGTCACCACGGGAGAAAGTCTTCGGGAACATGTTGTGCTGTAATAGTTTACAGATTCATAAAAAGTATTGATCAAGCTTCGTCTCCTGTAGTTCTAAATAGAGTATTAAAGGATTTTATCTTCTCGACTATAGCAGCCCAATAATGCTAGGCATGGCAATGAACAAACACATGAAAATCAAATACAACCAACAAACACAAAAGCATCTGGCCTTGTGTTTAACTCAACTATCATCAAGTTAATGGTGCAGTCATACGAAGCTTCTCCTTTTAATTAAATAATTAGCTCTTTTCTGAGGGACAGCTTTATGCTTGGCCACACTGCTGTTTGTAGCAAGGAAGAGGGAAGGCTTGCTGTGGCAGAAAGGTTTGGACAGCTTTGGCCAGACTTCAAAAGGCATCTACCCACTTCCCTTCTGGTTATAACCTTCTGTCCGTTTTATAAGTTTTTGTTGGTCAATTGGATTATTGAAATTACTAATAAGATACTCATAATGAAAGCACTGAAAAATGCAACCTGCTTCTGATTTTCCAGTTCAAAACTTACACAATTCAGAAATCTTGTTTTCCAAAACAGACTTTCAAAAAAATCACAGTAACACTTCACTTAATTTTTTCTTCTTTGAAATTACAACTGTGTCTTTTCTCCCTATAAGTAAAGCAGTAGAGCTTTTGTCATTGACCTAAGAGTTCCCTGATTGGGTAAGATTTTCTATCATCTCCTTTGTTAACTGCTCTTTCAGTTTTAGATATTTATGTAGATATCTTCTTTGGGTAGTGAGAGATACAAATCAGAAAGTTAAAATTCCATCATTCTGTGATGAGAAAACATCAATTATGTAGCAATTGTTCAGATCAGTAATATTTCCACTACTCTCCATAGGTATAACTCCCGTAAATATTGTATATGCTGTTATAAAAGTTCAGATGTCTCTTTCTTTCAATATGAAAGAAAATAAAAAATATGTCTATGGGCACATATGATCCCTGCCATTGTTTGGATTCAAAGTGTCTCCTAAAGGTCCATTAAAGACATGGTCCCCAGCCTTGGTACTATAGAGAGCCATTAAGAGATGGGCCCTAGTGGGAAGTCTTAATTCAGTGGGGGCTGGGCCTTGAAGATGAGAGGGGGGTACCATCCCTTTTCTCCTCTTCTGCACTCCCCGGTGCTAAGATGAACAGCTTCACTCTGCCCCAGTGAGCTGCCAGGACCATGCACCACCACAGCCCCAAGGCAAAGGGGCCAACAGACCGTGGAGCTCCAGACTGTGACCCAGAATGATTATTTTCTCTTTATAAATTGATTAACTCTGATATTTGTTACAGGACTGGAAAGCTAATGCAGCTCTTAACTCCCAGTTACAAGCATGTGTTTCCTAACATGAAAACAGTTTCAAAGAAGAAAGGTGCATGTCTCCTTTTCTTTTGGAAGTGATAGGTGATGAGGGGATTCCTGAGAAACAGGTAAATTTTAGAATAGGAATATCAACTTCTTTGCCTTATCAGTCAAAGACCTAAAATCTGATTGCTCAAAGTGCTATTTGCATGTTTGCAACATTTACTATTTGATGGTGGTTAATGGGTATTTAAATGTTTCTCTAATTAAATTGGGAAAACAACTACTCTTCATTATTAATGAATTTCTTAAAGAGGCTTTCAAGAGAGCAGCGGGGCTGTTAATGACAGCATGTTTTCTTCTACAGATGAGAGTGGGAATTTTTCTCAAAAGTCATCTTATGGTATATTCAGGTTACATTTCTTATTTTATTGTTGTTGAATTGAGGTCTCTTCTATGTCCACATTAGAAAATAACTCCCAACCACACTGAGCTTAGAGATTAACTTTTTATTTTGAATAAATAAGCTTTCAATCTAATAATGCACACATTTTTAACAGAAAATTAATATCACTTCAAGCAATAAATCTTTCAGTCTCAAAGACATACTCTGAAGTCTATGTGAACAATGAATTGAAACATCTTTAACTTTACTAAAATAAAAGCTCACTTTGGAGATGTTTAACTAGTCCAATAATATGCTACTATGCAAATACAGTAGGAAAAATTGTGGCTCCTTTCAGTAAAAAATTTCAATTATTTCTTTGAAAGTTGCTACATATATATTTGTGAAAAGATGGTTCATGGAGGGCCGAGGATTTAGTTCAGTGGTAAGATGGCTCATGAGCTGTAAAATAAGTTAAACTTGAGTTTTTCCAAGATTTCCCTAATTGTACAACCAGTCCCAGGACTCATTAGGAGAGCATGAGCCATCATTGATCTGTGATCGGAGGCCCTTGATTGGCCACCCCAGGGAGGTAGTGTGGCTGTGCTCCTATTTCCCTGTGGGCATCTTAGACAAATTGAGTCAAGTCCAGTTCCATAGGGGAATCATCTCCACAGGAAACTGGTCTTCTTGAACTTCAGCATTTTCCTATCCTTCAGGAAGACATCATTCCAAGGTATAAACACAGACCCTAGAGATTCTTCCTTAAGCCAGGCCTCTGATTTGCTTGTGTATCTCCCTTGAATGGGCAGTAAATAGTCCCAGAGGATATGCTGGGGAAATAGACACTTAGCTCTTTGGCTACATATAGGTTTTTGGATTTTTTAAAAAATGTAATCACTAGTAGTTCACAGAAAAATACAGCCTGCCTATCAAATTACTTCCAAGACTCCTAGAATATATCCAAAATTAAAAGAAATATTATCTACTTTCTCCAGAAAGTGCTATAAAATGACAGAAATTACGCAAAAGTATCAGTAGACAACAATAACTTCTTTCAATCTTCTGTTTATTTGGATATTTTTATTTATTCTACAAGCTTAGATATAATTCCTCTGGCTGGATTATCAGCTCATTAATGTTTAATTATTGCCATGGTATTAATGATGATGTTCCTTCCAAAATTCATGTTGAAACTTAATCCCTAATGCAATGCTAGCAAGAGATACAGCCTCTGGAATGTGATTAAATTATGTCCTCTTGAATTAGGCAAGCATTTAAAAAAAAAATGCTTTAAAAAAAGGCTGGAGTTTGAAGGAAGAACTCTTTGCCCTCCTGCTTTCTACTATAGAACATCACAGAAACAAGGCACCCACCATCTTGGAACCAAAAAGAAGCCTTCACAAGACAGCAATACCAGGACACTGATATTGGACTTCCTGGCTTCCAGATCTATAATCTCTTCTTGGTGAGTTACCTGACCTAAGGCATTTTGTTATAGCAGCATAGATTAAAACAATTATTGACACTATTACTCAGGCTACTGAGAAGTATAGGTACCTTAGCCTGTGTTAAAATCTATATCCTTTTAAACAGTAATATTTCTGTAGAATTTACTTATGGATGGAGCGTCACTTTTGTTTCTTTTGTTGTATACCTACATGAGTAGTACACGCTTAGCTGCCTATGGAAAAAGGCATCATTCTCTGTATGATCATCTTCAATAGCTCAAGTGAAGGCACAAAGGGACACATTTCATATGACATTCATGGGCTTTTTGTAATTACTATGATTATTATTAATTACTATGATTTGCTAGTAATTTTAATAGAATGAATAACTTACTACATAATTCTAGTGCATTTTCTTTTTATATTTGAATAAGTCCACTCTGCTACAGATCACCTCTACGCAAAGTGCACTTCATTTTTGTGAATAAATCACTCTTTTGTTTCTTAGATTGGAAAATAGAGAAGCCACTGAAATTCTTCCTTTTCCTTTTTCTGCATCAAAAATCAGTGTATGGCATAGACAAAAATAAATAGAACAGAAATAACATATATATGAGAAAAGTCAATTTTTAATATTGTCTAAACAAAGCTATGAAAAATGAGAATATAAAAACAAAAAATTTTAACAGAATATATCAACTGTTCTATTTAACAATTAGCAGAAAGACAATACAAGATAAATTAATTCATTCAGCATGCAGAATACAGAACAGTGAGAAGGGTTATTTGCTTCAGCATATAAAATATTCTTTAGTTCTAAAGGTAGAATAAAAACTCTAACTCAGAAGCAACCCTTTTGGGTGGATGGGAAAATAAATAGTTAAGAATATTTCAGCTTATTTATTCAAAGGAAAGACTCTGTGAAAGTCTGAGGAATGATCAATACCATTCAGTGGGTTATCAGAACCCGGAGGCGTCTGTTCCAACACATTATATACATGCCAGCCTTTGTCAGTCACCAGCTTCGGTCAATAAATAGATTGGAACTACAAAAATGAGAGAGAGAATCAAACTCTGGTTTACTTTGTTTCATTTTCCTCCTGTACTTGAATTTTATGTCCATTGTTTCATAAACTAGTGTCCCTCCCTCATCCTGTTCCTCCCCTTGGCTTCATCATCAGTGCAAGGCCCATGGCACCACTGTGACTTAATGTCCTCTGGTCCTGCTTTGAAGTTAAAGACACACACACACACACACACGTGCGGGCGCGTGCACACGCACACATGCACACACACACACACACACACACACACACACACACAGGCATTTCCCGGGGCAGTACACATGAAATACATAAAAACTAGCTCTAAGTATTTGTTATAGAGATAAATGCCTGAAAGCAATATGCAAAATATTGGGCTAGATGTTTTTTATTTGTTTTTATTTTATTCATATGTTTTTTTACCTTTAAAATATTTTTTTTCTTTCTCCACAACAAGCTTAACTGCACTGAGGGTTATAACAAACATAGAGGAAATAAGTTTTCTTCCTTGGAAATGGCCTCATGATTCTCATTTAATATTCATAGCATACAGACATTTGGTTTCTTAAAAAGATATACCATACATATTTTTAGGACAAGTTTTGGATTTCTTCCTCACCACTAAAAAGGGCATATTTCACTTCTTTATGTTGTAAAGGTGTTTTGTAAGGTAGTCGTGGACTCTAATACTACCTGAAGAATGAAGTAGAACATCAAGGTGAGGGGTAATCGATCAATTTCTTAAGCTATTTCTTGGATGCCTACTGTGTGCCATGTTAATTTCTATAACAAATCTCTCACACAGTCAGTGAGGTTCCAGTGTTCAGAGTACAAAGCTAAAGCTGCATCTAACTTCAGTCTCTCTAACACCTCCCATCACATTGCTTTCCTAAACAAGGAAAAGGTCAGCCTGTGCAGAGGATGGGCCAAAATACAGCAGGAGGTGACCCAAGCTGGGAGGAGTCCTGTTCAGAAGCTGCCTGGGGGCAGTTAGTTATCATCCTCTCTTAGTAACTGGGTGTCTAGTGTGGGGATGGTTGGGCCCCTGAGGAGAGAGAGCACTATCTGGCAAGAGATATTTGCTTCATGTTTCATGAATACGTGACCAGAAATATTGTTAGAAATTCAGGTTGCACTGTGGGCCATATAATTTATGCTGCAGCTAAAATGATCATAATGTCAGAGTCAGAACTTGGAAGACAATAGTACAATGTACATGGGAGGTATTGTAAGTGTGTGACCGAGAGAATGTGGCCATCAACTTATCTAGTTTCTATAAGTGTGTCTATCATTCATAGTTAGGATCGATTGGTAGGAGGTCGCTGGAGCTTAATCAATGATATTAATCATCCGGAAGGAAGGATAACTCAATAAAAGGAGGTGATATGCCTCTTCAGAGGTAAAATATAATAGTGATGGATGAGAGGAAAGAGAAAAGACAAATTCATATTTGGATCTTCAGTAATGGTCTAGGAAAAGAAACGTCCTGATAAACTCAAGCCAGAGATTTGGGTTACTTGTCAGGCTGGTATCTTTGTGTTGAATACAGACGGATACTTTGACAATCCAAGCGTGGTGCACCCTAGCTGTGGAATGCACCACTCTGCAGATATATCCCTTTGCTTTTTTCCTTAGTTACTAAGCAACTCTTGGGAAAATAATACTTCAAGGTTTCCTGGCTTCCTGTCCCATTCTGTCTGGATAGCTATATTTCTTTTTGAAACAAATGCAGGCCATTGTATTTTTTTGCAGGCATACTCTCTTATCAACTCTGGATACACTAAAGAAAAAAATTATTCAGGTGCAAGATCGGTTTAGTACAACTGGGATGGCTGTTTCAATACTGCCGTTCTGTGAGGTACTATCAGATTTTATGTCTGGTCTATCAAATACATATATGTTTTCAGAACAACAATATTCTTCCTCATGTATACACCAGGTCCCTTTGAAACTACACCACACACCATCAGGATATGCCTCCTTCCTATATCTCTTCTCACCACAGCCTTATAATGCTCTCCCAACCCTTGGCAGTTGGCTTATAGCATTTGTTATAGCCACAATTTGCCATGGCAAAAGCAATGATTCAGGATCAGTTTAAGGTCCAGAAGAACTTGGATGTTAAAAAGTTGAATCAAATAGAAAAATTGGAATTCACAGATTCAAGTGAAATGAAATGGCTACTCATTAAAATTACCAGACCACAGTTTTGGCTTTGCTGATGTTTCCCTACTTGAGGAGAGGGAGAAAAGTCAGTACTCACTGTGCCAGAGAAAGACATATGTGCACCGAGGCGTTCTTATACCAGGCATTTGAGGTGTCCCACAGCAGGTTTGTCTTACCATGCTATCCCACCCGCCAGCCACTTCTTTTCTCAATTAAACAATGATCTAACAAGTGCAGTCTGAGACTGTCCTCTTGCTCTGTTTTATTTCCTCAGTATCAGCTAGGAGCTTCCACTCAGAAAACCTCAGTGATGGCTGAACAGCTGCAACCTGGTGAAAAGGGTGTCACTCCATCAGCACCTCCCATGATGAATTCACATCGCATCCAAATCCCATGGGTCCCATTTTCCCATTTTGAGAAGATTAATAAAATATACAAGGGCCGTGATTTCCCCTTAATAATTAATTTAATTTCTTAATTAAGTGCAGGCTCACTTATCTCAACCTGGTAAACTTCATAAATTACAATTTAATCCACATTGCTATTGTCATTCATGCTATGGAAAAATAAGATCCCATGGTGGTTTTAAAACAAAAAACAGCATTCATCTTATTAAAATATGTGTAAATCTATGCCAAATATCCAAGATCCTTAACCTATGAGATACCAACAATTTGGAATCTCCCTTCAGTACACCATTTGGATTGCCTTCCTTTAGATACAATCTGTTTCATGATTTTTCTTTACTGAATAAGAAGTATCTGATCATATGTAATAGGGCAGTCATTGAACCATATCCCTGATAATCTCTGTCAGCCCAAATTGAATTGGTTATTGCTGATTATCAGAATGACAGATCCATTTTTCCGCCTGCTCAAGCTCTGTTTGAAGCACTCAAAATTTGTGCTATTAAGTTCCACGTCTTAATCATTTGTGTTCCCACAGAATCTGTTACTAAGTCACCATCCAGAGCTTCAGCTATGCAGCTGTTTTCCAAAGCAAGCACCACAAAACTCCCTGAGCATGGTAGGACTTTAGAGAACCCCTGAGCACACTGCCTTTTGGCAGAGATGTGAGAGATGGGGGGCAAGGGGGAGAGAGAGAGAGAGAGAGAGAGAGAGAGAGATCTTACAAACTCAGTGTTCTTCTTCTCAATCCTCTCTATCCTTTTGCAGCTCTGTAATCCTCTGCTTACTCTTCAGTTATGCCATTGTCAAAAACATAAGCAGTTGGGAGGAATTTGATATGCAAACAATAATTTATTACCTTTACCACTTGTATATTTCTTATCTATTTTCTGTTCAACTACCTTTTCAGTCCACTTGCTGCTTGTGAGGGCTAGAATTCTGAGAGAATTCCGCAGATTTCAGTCTTTTTATATATGCCTTGTCTACCAGTTATTCGGGAAAACATCAATGAGCTGCAGTTGCAATGAAAAGGATTTTTCTGATATAGAGTGAAATCCACTGACCTTCAGATAATATAGTTTCTGGGAAGGGTTGACCTCCTCACTCACAGGAGTCCTTCGAATGTGGGGCAGAGGTCAGATAGAAGGAGGGGAGGGTAAGAGAGAGAAAGAGGGGGATGGAGATCAAAGAGATTTGAATCAAAAGAGATCAACATGGAGGAGTACTCTGTGCTGCTGGTTGTGGAGATAGTGGGTGCTCTTTGCCAACAATATGCTTGGCCTTTGGGAACCGAGTGTTCCTCAGCTAACACTAAGCAAGGAAACAGGGGTCTCAGTGCTATAACCATAAGAAAC